GCCAACTCTCACCTGCGACTCTTCGCGCCACTCTTTCAACTGCAGCGCAAGTCCCGGAAGCAGATCGCCCGGTACCGGAAGCATATTTCTGAGGCCGGAAGCGAGTGTCCGGCAAACATGGCGTCGGCGGCGCTGGCGCTAAGGACGCGGGCGGCTGGTAACGGAACGCCGTGGTTGTTGCGGGGCGAGGGGTGCAGGCGGGACGGAGACCCTGCAGGGAGGCCGTTCCTTGTGGAGGCCCCTGGGCGCGGAGCCGGGAGAGCGCCGGTGGGGGGTTGCCCACGAGCTTTGAGGGACAGCTGTCACTGGCCACGTGACACATCTCGGGGGCCAGGCCCTGGGTGGTTGCGCGAGGAGCATGTGTCCTTTCTTTGCCCCGTGCGCAAGTGCTGCTTCCCTAGCGTTTGGTGACGTGGGCACGCCGCTTCCACTCCGTGGATTACCTTCATCCATAAATACTGGCACGCTAGAGCTCAGAAAGTTAACCCTCTGGTTCAACAGATTGAAGTCTCTTTGCCAGAACAGTAAGGTTAGGTGTTGGGGATCTCAGCAGAGATGAAGAGAGTCTTTCGGACCAGTTCTGTCTAGTGGATAAGCCAATAACTACGCACATAAACTGGTTGTAAATCGTGACGAGTGCTTTTAAAGAAAGCAAAAGCGTGTGTGTGTTGTGTCTTTTGCGGGGTTGGTGGTCAGGGGAGCCTTTTGACGAGGTAACATCTAAGACAAGACCTAAAGGATGACAGGAGGCCTAATCCTGTAACAGAATGAGGGGCAAGAGAATGACATAAGCCAGTTTTACATGTTGAGAAGCAAACCATTGCTCTTATGTGAATTTAAAAGGGGATAGGGGTGGAAATGAGGGAAACGAATGGGAAGCTGTAGTAGCCCTCATGAGACACGATTTAGCCAAGATGCTAGTGTCAGTGAACTTGGAGGAAATGGGTGGTTTTAGGATCTGTTTTGGAGATAGAACCCAGAGTTGGCTCCTGAGCTGGATATGTGAGATGAGCAAAGGGAAGCAATCTGCAATCATTCCTTGATTTCTGCCTGAGCATCTGCACAGGTGGTAGCATCATTTCCTCTGAGATGGAGGGTGGGGAGTAGGCTGAAGAGCAAAGATTTGTGAAAGAGATAATGTAGATAAAAGCTCCATTCCTCAGCTTAATAAATTAGAGGATGAACGAAAGAATAGATTTAAAGGTAGGTAGATCCTGGTGCTGGGCATTTAGCATGTCTTTCTAAGTATTTATTTCTGGTCCTTTGTGCCAGCTACTCTCTGTCATTAAAACTTCAGGAACCTGGTTTCAGGAACTCTGAATTTGTAGGCTCCAGAGACTCACAAGGCTTCTCTAAAGATTTTGGTATAGTCCTGATTAACCATGGCTGAGTCTGGAGAGCTGAAAGCAAGGACTGCCAGCCCTATGCTTGTCATATAGCAAGGGGCTTTCATCTTGGTTAGTATGAATTTTAGTTCACTTTCCTTTTTTTTTTTAAGATTTTTTAATTATTTATTTATTTGACAGGTCACAAGCAGGCAGAGAGGCAGGCAGAGAAAGGGGGAAGCAAGCCCCCTGCCGAGCAGAGAGCCTGATGTGGGGCTCCATCCCAGAACCCTGAGATCATGACCCGAGCTGAAGGCAAGAGGCTTAACCCACTGAGCCACCCAGGCACCCCTAATTCACTTTCCTTTTAAAAAGAAATGCCATTGAGCATTTTGGAATGAGTATGGAGAGGCCAGTTGTCAAGGGCAGGGTGTCAGTCTTCTTGGTCAGGACCCGCACTGGGTGGGCTTGCTGATGAGAGTCCAGCCTTCTGAACTAGCTAAGAGCCTGTGGGAGCCACCCTCAGAGAAGCTGCCCTTTTTGTTTACAAGTATTTGGTGTGCAGGGAATGGTGGATGGTTGCGAAAGTGTGGGTGATGCCAAAGCAGGACCCTCTCTCTCTGGGTGTCCTGTTGCTGGGCTCTGTGGTCCAGCCCCTCCACAGTGTCTGGACCCTTGAGGACATGTGGTGAGTGAGGCTGAAGCGGGCAGCCCTGTGGCGTCTTCTTGCTGGCTTGTATTTCTGTGGTGTTTGTTTCTCCTCAACAGGACTGAATGTGTCAGGACCCAGGGCACATGGTGTTTATTTTTTTTTCCATGAATATTTCACTACCCACTGCCTCCCCCGGCCACACACACACTTCTCATGCAGCGCATACACCCTGGACAATACAAAGAATGATTTGTCTCCTGCTGTGGGAGAAGGCCAAGGATTTCCAGACACTGCCTGAAAACCAACACAGTCGAGTGGCATTTCTGCTTACATATCTTCCTCACCTCCCCTGCCGCTACCCCCTTACACCTCTCAGCTTAGCAGATGGCCCATTGAGGCAGAGAATGAGTGATTGGGAGCCTCTCTGAACAGCATTTCTGTTCTGTCTGCAGTGACAGCCCTGCTGAGCCCCGCTCCGGCCGCATCTCTTGCCGTCAGATACGCATCCAAGAAGACAGGTGGCAGCTCCAAAAACCTGGGTGGAAAGTCACCAGGCAAACGCTTTGGCCTCAAGAAAATGGAGGGTGAGGGTGTGCCTTGGTTTCCATTTCCCAGCTGCACTGTCCCTTGTCCCTGGCATTCCTTTGCAGAACAGGGAAACCATGTACCCTCCCAGACTTGTACTCCGAGTAGCTCGCCAGAGCCCTTGGCTCCAGATTACGGATGCAGATAAGACCTGAGGTGGGGAGAGGGTCCTGCAGAAGATCAGATAGGTGTGAACCTGGGCCGTGAGATGAGAGAAGAGAGGAAAATGGCAGGGGCATGGGGAGAGGGGGAGACTGGCAGAGGGAGATAAGGGGCTGCTTGTGTCCGAGAATGTAGCAATTGGCTTTGTCCAAGGCCATGCATAGAGGTTGGTGTTAGCATCTGGACCAGAAAAGCAAGGGCCAGTATGTTTTCTTAGCAGTTTGCTGTGCTGCCCATCACTGGGGCCCACAGTCAGTGTGCTGCGGACTTCTCTTCTAGGTCACTACGTTCATACTGGCAACATCATTGCGACTCAGCGCCACTACCGTTGGCATCCAGGCGCCCATGTGAGTTGCTCTGTGGCCCTTTCCCCTTTCTTCTTTCCCAGGACCACATCTCTCTGTAGCGTGGTAGTGATAACCATACAGTTGTATTTATTGGGTACTTAGCAAATGCCAGGCATCGTTTTGCTTCCTGGGCCTGTATTATCTCATTTCATCCTTACCCCATCCCAGTGATTCACTAGGTATCCATTTTCAAGGTAAGATGCCAGCAACTTAGGGAGTAGGGGGCCCATAGGACAGAACTGGGGTTCGTGCTGGGGCTGCCTGACTCCCAGTCACTGGGCTTTGCCTTGTGGGGCATCAGCGTGGTTCTCTTGGGTCTCCTTTCTGACCCCCAGCTGTTAGAGGAGGAGATGCCTAGTGATTTGAGATACTTGTTGAATCTTGGGAAACCAATTTCAGTGTATTCCTTATGAGATGGCTGAAAGATAGCTTGAATTTAATAAAACACAATTCTGCGTATGTGCCAGAAATTAGGTCCATATCAGGCAGGGATTTTAGTTTTCGGCAAGTTGAGATTACTTTCTGAGGTAGGAAGCTTCTTTGTTAACACAGATCTGTACTGTACTTTCTTTCTTTTTTTTTTTTTTTTAAGATTTATTTATTAGAGTGTACCAGTGTGTGTGCAAGCATGCGGGGTTGGGGGCAGAGGGAGAGGAAGAGCAGCAGACTCCCCACTGAGCTTGGAGCCAGTCTTGGAGGCCCAATCTCACAACCCTGAGACCATGACTTGAGCCAAAAATAAGAGTGGGATGCTTAACTGACTGAGCCACCCAGGCACCCCTGTTCTATACTCTTCCCATTATCTGAAATGTTAGTTAGTTTCCTTTGTAATGGATTAATTCCCCCCCACCGCCCCTTTTTTGGCAGTTTTGGTAGGCATAGAAAGACTGAAAGTGGCCAATAATTATGTCAGAAATGCTCATTTACACATGAATTGATTGTATTTATGTAGCTTTGTCTTTTAGAACTGGAGACACTGTGTGTGTTAACTCTTGGGACTGGATAAAATAATAACAGCAGTAATAAAAAGCTAACGTGTTTTGAGCTAAGCAGCATTCTAAGCGCTTTATGATTAACTCACTTAATCCTCAAGGGGACCCCATAAAAGTACTCAATACCCATTTTGCAGATGAGAAAATCGAGACACAGTGAAGTAATGCAGCTTGCCCAGGCCACACAGTAGTTAGTAGGTAGTGGTGCTGGGATTTGAATCCCGCATCCTGGCTCCAGAGCCAGGCACTGCGTTTTGGCAGCCATCACTGTGATCACTGTTTTGTTTACTATGACAACTACAGTGTTTTTTAATTTTAAATGAGGCGAGCTCCCAGATGGGGGGCGCGCAGCGATCAGGGGCATTTTCCTGGGCCTGGTTTGGGAATCTGTCTGGTGTGGCATCTGGCTAGATGCACAAACGTGGGTCCAGAGCCCAGCCTTCAGGGACCAAGTACCCACAAGGATTGGCTGTTGGGAGTTTTCTTTTCCCTCTTTTGTCACAGAGTCACCAAAGAAATAGATGTCCAGGAAGCACCAGGCAGCAGGAAAGGGAACCTGAGATAGAGCTCTCTGGTCTGCCTGTTGGGCCCAGAGCCTGAAGCCTTATGAGAAGTTTGTCCCGAAGTCCTGGGATGGACCACCCGGCCATTGGCCCAGCTGACCTGGTCTTTGTGTTGCAGGTGGGGCTGGGGAGGAAGAAGTACCTGTATGCCCTGGAGGAGGGGGTAGTCCGATATACGAAGGAGGTCTATGTGCCCAGTCCCAGCAACGCCGAGGCCGTGGATCTGGTCACCAGGCTGCCCAAGGGTGCTGTGCTCTATAAGACTTTTGTCCACGTGGTTCCTGCCAAGCCTGAGGGCACCTTCAAACTGGTAGCTATGCTTTGAACTCCTGGTTGAGGCCATTGGACAGAGCATGGAGCCCAGGTGACCGGAGAGGGTGGCCGTGGGGGCAGTCGAGGGTTGGAACGACAGGGCCTCCTGAAGAAGTCTACTTGGTGGTGATTGCAGAAGACTCAAGTGACTGGTGGGGAAGCCTTTTGGGAGACCTGACCTGGGGCCTGAAGTAAAGATTGCTGAATCGTGAGTCTGTGCTGTGTGAGGACAGACCTGGCTGGAGATGCGGACCTGCTTTCTGGTCCTTACCCACGTTCTGTGGCGCACACCGAGAAAAGGGGCCTCTCAGAGTGAGGAAATGAGAAGAGGGGCATGTGTTAGAGGAGGGGATTGCTTTAACACCAGCTCTCCAAGGGGAAGGAAGACAAGCAACCCCCCCACCCCCTCCACGGGATCCCATGCCAGGCAGGGCCCTGGGAGGAGTGGGTGGGAGGGGCTACAGAGGAAGAAACAAGGTCATGTCCTCTCCTAGAACTGCATTTGGAGGGAGATGGGGCTGTAGCCTCCGGAATGGCAGATCCCTCCCTGACTCCGTGGGTCCAGCCTAGAGAGGCCAGGTAGACCGAGGTCCTTTCAATGAGGGGGCAGAATGGGTGACAAACGGGCTTCTTTCCGTGCACCAGGAGAGAGACACACTCACCTCACATCCTTTTCTGGTTCTTGGTTTATCTCAAACCATAAGTGGCAGCAAAGGATCTGGCTTTAGGAATACTCAGTCAGGGCCTAGGTTGGGCTGGGGCAGGCCTTCATTGTCTATCCAGCCCAAGACCCTTGAGGCTTGGCTTCTGGTGAATGGGCCAGGAAGAAAGTCTCAGCTGGGGCAGAGGGTTGTCCTGGCCTTTGGAGGGAGGCGGTTTGTGGAGTCCAGTGGCTTCCTCCAAGGACTCTGCCCGGTAGGCAGGAGCTTCAGGGATTGGGGACGCAGAACCCCCACAATTCGGGAGATCTGCCTTGAACTTGTCACTTTGTTCTCTCAGGGCATGACCCCAGCTTCTCCACGCGCAGATCCTGGGCAGAGGTGACCCAGGGTTTCTTGAGTTTCACTTTGGCTCCCTTTTTGTGAGATCTCAGGTATGAAGGCCCAGCTGGGAAGATGGCTGGGGGCATCTCTGTGGGCTCAGCACTGTCCCTCCAGGCCCCCGGAGAAGCAGGAAGGGGCGGGATGCAGGCTTCCCTCCAACACAGTGGTGGTGCCCCCCAGCAGAGCAGGGGGCTGCTTCAGGGGTTGGGCGAGCAGAGCCACAGTTGGGTGGTGGTGCCGGCAGTGACCTTAGGACCTCCTCCTAGCTTGATGGCAACTGAGGGGTAGGAAAGAAGGGATTCAGCCATCCCCTGACAGCCCAGCCTCTCTCCACCTGCCCATACATATACTTTCTTGGGGCCTCAGACTCCCGTGTCTCCTCTCCCCCCAGTGATGTTCTGGATCCCAGAGCAGGTGCCCCCTGGGTTGGGGTCCTCTGTCCTTCCTTCCATCCAAAGAGGTGAAGTGGGGCTTCCTTTCAAATCCTGGGGCTCTCCATCAGTGGCCCTTTCCTTCTCCTGGTCTGAGGGGCTCTAACTGGGCATTATGTGTAAATATAATATGAAAAAAGCTCACTTCTCCAAAGTACCTGAGGCAAGGAATGCTAAACGTTCACGTCTCTGCAGGCCCAGATCCCCAAGCACTGTGCAGTCCGCTGGTGAACCTGCTTCTGCTGGTCCTTCTTCCCAGTACTCCTAGCCAGTTAGGTGAGCCAGCTGCCACAGGGGCAGCTCCACACAGAATCCCTTTTCCATCTGGGGATAGCCCTGTAACCAAGAAAAGCCAAGGGAACCAGGCAGGCACACACCACCCTTCAGCTTCCATCTGGACCTTCTTCCCCAGGGTGAGCCCAAGATTAGGGTATCACACACTGTCCTCTCCCAGAAATCTCTAGGCATCACTCCATCCTCCCCCTAGCTGCCCTGGGTCCCTGGGCTGGCTTCAGGCCCCCAGTCCACACCATTCCGCTGACTCTCCGGTGCCGGCCCCAAGGGTCCTCCCTCACTTGGATCCACTGGGAATCTCGGCATCTTTCCCCTGCCAAGACCTCACTGGGGCATCCCACTGTGTAGAAGCAGGGAAGGGGGCAGTCCTGGGGACCATGAAGGATGACTCAGTGCAGCCCCCGATGCAGGGTCAGGGTCAGAAGGTGAGAGAACAGAGCCCAGTCCCTTCTGTTCCTGTGTTAACTCTCCCCATCCCCTTTAGTTCTCTCCAGCGAGATGAAGGCACAGAGCTCACTCCTCAGCAATTCTGAGATGTGCTCGGTGGAGAGCCACCACTCCTCTCCAGCCACCAGGTCCCTCTCACTGTCTGGCAGCCACTTTGAGGCTCTTTGGGGAAGAGAGGAAACCTCCTGTGTCCACCTCTCTGTCCTGTCTGCGACCCAGAAGTGCGTGTGTGGGGTGCAGGATGAGAGCATGCGGAGGTTGCAGATCAGACAATTCATTTTGCTTTCTGTACCCAGGCTCCCACACAGTGCCCCATCCCTGGGGAAAGGCTGGCCTCTCCCTGTCGGATGTCAGTGCTCTGGGCTTTCTCTGCGGAGCCAGGGAGGGGAGCTAGGGAGGGAGAGCTGGGATAAGACCTTTGCCCTCACCAGCAGCTCCCAGCACAGGGTCGCCATTAACAATAACAATCACCAGGCAGGAGAAGGCAAGGACCTTATTAACCCTTTCCACACTGCTGTCCCGGCTCCAGGGGAACCCAGGCTGGAAGGTGCAGGGTCCATAGAGTAGATCCCAAAGGCCCCTTCCATACTGAACACTTGTTCTTGCCTGGCCAGAGAGCAGGTGCCCTTTTGTTGGGATTGGGGTGGGGGCAACAGCAAGGGAAGGGTTGTGGGGCAGGAGTGCCTGTGTATTGACTGGGGATCTGGAACAAGTGGCAGGAGCGGAGACTCTGGCCACACTCCAACTCACACTGGTCCAGCCGCAGCCAAAGGATGGCCATGATGAAACTGCCCTCCCCCCAGAGGCACAGTCAAGGGCCCAGCCTGCACCTGGCATGCATGGGCCCACCTCACCTCCCCACGTTGGAATCCCGCTCCAGAAATTAGGTAGGATTGACATGACCGTCTAGCATCAGCTTGACATGTAAGGGAAACTGAGGCACAGCTCCCTTTCTGTGGGGGCATCAAGCCCCCCCGCCCCCCGCAGCAGACTTAGGAGAGCAATGTAACTTTTTCTCTCTTTTTTTTTTTTAAAGATTTTATTTATTTAAGAGAGAGAGAGGTGTCACAGGAGGCAGAGCGGCAGGCAGAGAGAGGGGGGAAGCAGGCTCCCTGCTGAGCAGAGAGCCCGATGTGGGGCTCCATCCCATGACACTGAGATCATGACCTGAGCTGAAGGCAGAGGCTTAACCCACTGAGCTACCCAGGCTTCCCGAGAGCAGTGTAGCTTTATTCTGTCTCTTCAGCTCAGGGAAGTGACATGTGTAAGGAGTTCAGAGAGGGACAAACTTAGGGAGGGGAAGGAACTTGTGGAAGGGCTAGGCACCCTTACAAGCGGTGGGTCTGTGGGGGCCAGCAAGGACCCCAGAGGACCCCAGTGCCTGAACTCAGCCCCTTCTCCATTCTTCCAGACTGTGGCATCCCAGAACTCGGCTGGCATGGGCCTAGTCAAACACAGCATTCTTCCCCAGTGGCTTGCTCTAGGTGACCCTATAGATGAAGAGGTTGGGCTTACGGCCCATGGCAAGGGGTCAGGGCTCCATCTGACCCAACCCCGGGACTCAGGACAACAGGAGGCACTCACAACAGTAGCTAGGAGGCTACTGTCTGTGGGGATCTCTGCACGCAGAATGGCAGTGGCAGAGGGGTGGCAAGACAAGGCATCAGCCTTGAGCCACCTTGAAGACAGCCAGAGGGCTCCCCCACCCCAACTCAGGAACCCTGGCCCTGGCTCAGAGCCAGCTTGTCGGCTTCTGCCCTGTTGCCCTGCTCGACCTGTCAATGCCATGCCATGACCGTGTGTCCCACAGAGGGCATTCCCCTGTGGGCCTGGCCTCCACAAAACTCCCTCCAGGACTTTCAGAAAAAGTTGGTGGGAGTGGGCTCAGCTTCTGGCATACCCGCTGGCCAGCCAGGGGGGCTCCAACTCACCCAGACCTGTGCACTTCTTACTTCCAGATCACCTCCCGGGGACTCTGCCCTGCCACTTCCCATTGGCCCAGGTAATGGGACTCAGGATGCCAGTTGGCTGTCTTCTGCTCTTGGCTCCCCCTCCAAGGGAACAAAGCAGTCCAAGGTTGCCCTAGAAACTGGGCACAAGGGCCACAAAATACAAAAGCCTCCCTCCCCAGGCGCTCCCCCTGCCTCCAAAGGAATTAGTGCTTAGCCTATGGGGTCTAGACTGCCCCAGCCAACCCACCTCCACCCCTCATCCTGCCAGTCCCGAATCCTGATCTTGACCCCAGGGGCCCAGCCTGGGGGGAGGATTTCAAAGCCTCAGAGTCCAAACCTCCAGGCTGAGCTAACCCTCCAGAAAGACAGGGGTGGGGAAAACACCTCCACCCCTCATCCTGCCAGTCCCGAATCCTGATCTTGACCCCAGGGGCCCAGCCTGGGGGGAGGATTTCAAAGCCTCAGAGTCCAAACCTCCAGGCTGAGCTAACCCTCCAGAAAGACAGGGGTGGGGAAAACGATCTTGACCCCAGGGGCCCAGCCTGGGGGGAGGATTTCAAAGCCTCAGAGTCCAAACCTCCAGGCTGAGCTAACCCTCCAGAAAGACAGGGGTGGGGAAAACACCTCCACCCCTCATCCTGCCAGTCCCGAATCCTGATCTTGACCCCAGGGGCCCAGCCTGGGGGGAGGATTTCAAAGCCTCAGAGTCCAAACCTCCAGGCTGAGCTAACCCTCCAGAAAGACAGGGGTGGGGAAAACGGCAGAGAAGCTGCTCTCTGGCCTCCATGGCTCACACAGGGGAGAGGACGGGGAGGGCTGGCCTCCGCAGCCAAACCTGCTTTCTGAACCGGCCAGGGGTTCTGGAGCCTAGAGCCTGGTCTGGGTCCTGCAATGCTTCCAACTCAGGAGGTCAGCCCAGGCCTGCCGGAGCGGTGTGGGTGGAGCTGGTCACAAATTAGGATCTCCTGAGGGAGCTCTGAATCCATGCCTCCACTGGGTTCCCGCCTCACCAATGAACTCAGAACCCTCAGGCAGGGCGCCCAGCCACTGGGCTCAACGTGCAAACTCTGAGCGTTTATGGCAGCGGATGGTGGCTAGTAATAAGTAACCAGGGCCTGGTGTGATGGGGTGAGCGTGGCAGGGCCAGAAACAGCGCAGGCCCTGCTGATTTCGGAAATGAAGACTCTGGAAACTGTTGTGCTAACCTAACAGCAGCCCAGGTGAACCTTGCCAGCTGGATGGAGAGTCCTCAGCCCACAGAGTGTAAATGCTCTGACCGTTACCGGGACCCGCTTAGCAATTTTTCTTTTTATCGACCTAAGAGTTTTTGTGTTTAAAAAAAAAAAATTGTAGAGACTCAGGGCGAGTTTCAGAGGTTGACAAAAATAGCAGCAGAACGATGTCATCCTACCCCTCACCCGAGGTAGCGGGACTTCCTGCTGTCAGCTCCTCACTGGCGACCTGCTCTCGGGAGGGCAGGGGGTGGTCAGAGTGCAAGGCAGGCCTCCTGCCTCCGCCAGGAGCTTACTGCCGCCACTGGAGGGCTGTGACTTCGGGCTCATCATTCCAGTTTCCTGGTGTGCCGCATGTCCATCCTTAAAGCGCGGGCCTCGCAGTGTAAGGATTCAATGAGATGCTATGCAGAATGCCCGCCCGCTGGCTGAACAGATCCCCCGCCACCGCCCTTCCTGGCAGTCAAGGGCGCCCTCTCCTGGCCACTAAGAAAACTTGACATGTGGCAGTGGAGGCAGGAATGAGCCCTTTGTTCCCGGTGCAGAGCTGAGCAGGCCTATGCAGGACCTCCGAGGGAGGGCTTTTAAAGGTCCGAGAAACCCTGGCTCCCACATTAAGTCAGGCGTGAAGGTCTGATATGGAGCCCCTGCTGACAACAGCAGGAGAGCTGGAGGGAGAAAGGGGTTGGCAGAGGAGAAAGGTGGGACAAACCCTTCCAGCATGGCCCTCCCAGGGCCTAGGGTGGTGGCCAGGGACCCACGCCACTGTGACTCTTGCCCCTACAATTCCAACGCGAACTACCAGGCTGTGGCTGGGGCTGCCTCCATTCTGGGGGGTGCTCCATACATCGGAGCCGGGCAGGAGAGTGAGGAGAGCTTGTGGGATGGGCCCTGATGAGGCCAAAGGCAAAGAAGCCAGCATCCCGAGGAAGTGCTGGGTCAGGACCCTTGAGAACTGAACTGGCTTTCGTGCTGACCTCCTGGCCGGCAATGAGCAAGGGCCTATCTGGCCCTCAGAAAAAGAGGGAGCTGCTCTAGATGGGTTCCTGCCTCCCTTCTGGTTCTTGGATTCTAAACCGTTTCCACTCAAGGGAAATAAAACTTCCACCTTCTCATGGCTTTCAGAGCATACCAGCGAAGACATTCGGGGGAAGGCCAGACAATGCCAGCTTCCTGGCAGCCGGGAGGAAGGACACGGAGGGTGGCTTAGAGAGATAGAGATATATTTCTTCTGTTGCGTATTTCAGACCGCACACGGAGCTTTCAGGCACAATGCTTCTCTAGATTCTTCGGAGAGCCCCGACAGAGTTTTCTTCCCACACTGCTCCCGAGGGCTCACCCCTGCAGCGTGGGAGCCCAGGTCTGGCTTGTAGTTCTGGGTACCTGGGAAACTCTGCATTGGTCTCAGCAGGCCCTGATGCCCTGCCTTGCCCCTCGAGGGGCCAGACATGCTGGAAAGCCTGAGAGCCAGCCCCACCCCTTATTCTATGGTCCCCTGGCTACAAGAAGAGAGACTGTCCCACTAGAGTCCAGCTCTGCAGCGCTCCCCCAAATCACCTGGTCTCCGGGCCTCAGAGCCTGGCGTGGCACTTGTACCCCCGTAGAGCCTCAGCCATGAGCACCACAGGCCCAGGCTGGGGGAATGAGGTCCCGGAGAGTGAGGCAGGCCCGGCCTCCTCCAGAGCAACAGCAGATGGGCTCGTCAGGCCCCTGCTCCTCAGAGCCATGGCCCACTTCCTGGGGCTGCTCTGAGCCCTATTGCACAGCTTTCATTTCCAGTTCCTCCCCCTACCACCCATTAGAAACAAACAAACAAACAAAAAAACCCAAACAATAAGAAACCTAGAAGGGAAAGTGAGGAAGAGCAGGGTGTGGAAGCTGGAGCCCTTCTCCCCACACTCCTGCCGTCCGCTGGGGTCCCCGGCAGAACCGTGAGCAGTAAGGAGCATGCCCCCCTTCCCTGCCGTCTGCGCCCATCCTTGATGGCTCAAAGGGGTAGCCTGCCTGGGCCTCTGGTTCTTGCCTGTGGGGAGGGGACACCCCTCCGCTGTCTGTAAGGTGCAATCCCTGGGTCATCCGGAGGCCAGGGCCCTGCTACCTGAGTCGCCCGTCTGCTTTGACGGGTCCCAGCTCTGATTTGGGGTCGGGGGACACAGAGCTCCAGCTGGTCAGTCTGCAAAGCTCCAGGCCGGGGCAGGCGGAGGGGCCCATGGCACACAGTCCGGCCACAGACCAGAAGCCACTCAGCTCCCCATCTGTCCAGGCCTCCAGGGCCGGGCCCGTGAGCTCAGTGTGCCGCCGGGCGGCCTCCTCTGCGGGTTCCGGCTGGGGCAGGTTCAGGATACCACTGAGGCCCTGGAAACTCTGCTCCATGTACTCGTTGTGGGGTGGCCCAGCATGTAGCCAGCTGGCGTCATCTGCAGGGTGCAGGACAGACAGTGAGCGGCCCCGCCCAGCCAATTCTGTGAAGGCCAGCCCCCGCCCCTGCCCCCTCCCCATGCAGGTCTGGGCGCCCCCGGGTCTCTCCCAGCTCTACCAGGGAGTCACAGGGCGCTGAGTGACCTGTGACCTTGTGCTGACCCACAGAACTTTCTGGGCCTGTGACGCCATCCGCTTTCATGAAATCAAGGCCATAATCTCTGAATTCCCAACTTGAGGATTCATAACAGTGAGATCAAGGCACTTTGGGAGAGGAGGTAACTTTCCCATGATGGTCTGGTCTCTGTCCCCTGAACCCCTTCTCAGCCATCCCCGGGGGTTCCCAGAGCCTCGGGCCCTCAGCTGTGGGGCCTGCTTTCTTTGCCAGCCTCCCTTCCCACCACCCCTTACCTCCTACCTTCTTGACCCTCTGTTCCCCTCATGCACCAGATGCCCATGGGCTTTGTCTCCTCAGCTTAGAACACCCTTCTCTGTAAAATTCCAGCTCACTGGGGCTCAGCACCAAACCAGCCCGCTGGACAGCTGCCCTCCACCTGCCACACCTCCTGCATCAGACTCGGAGTCCCGGGAGAGCAGGGGTGTGGCTTGTCTGCTCTGGCTCTGCTACAGCCCCCGCCCCCCGCCTATACCCCATCCATCTCGGGGTTACTCCCGATCTTCTCTGTGATAAGATGGAGCCAGAGGAAGGAAACAACACCTACCTATTGAGTACCTACTGTATATAAGCTATGTTTACCCACATACTCATCCCTGATATCTCCCAGGGGTTAGTTAGTTGTCCTAGGCCCCTCTTGAGGGAACCTGAAGCCTGTGCCTATGTTCCAAGCCTGCTCCCTTAGCCTCACCTAAGTGTGGGCTGGGCCACAGGATCCCGCCCACCCAGCCACATGGTGGTTTGGGTGCTCAGTCAGCTCTGCTGCCCCAAGAACCAGGAATCCGGGGACCAGGAGGCCCTGGTCAGTCTCTACCACACGGAGAGGCCAATATCACGTACTGAGAAGCCAGTGCCTGGGGCTGACACACAGACGGGACATGTGGCCCCACAGAGACATTTCCTGGGTTCTGGGGGACAGCCCTGCATTCTTCCCATAATTTCCCCATTTTACTGGAGTTGGTTTGAGTGGACTTGTGTTCCACACATCCTGGAGGCCTCCAATGGTTCTATCCCTCCTACTTTAAACAAGTAAGACCAGGGCTCGGCTCTGAAGGCCAAGTAACCAAGGATAAAGGTCCAACCAAAATGTCAGAACTACATTCCAAAGCCAAGTCCACCTGACCACAAAGCTTGCCTCACTGCCCTACCATGGTACAGGGATACTAAGGGACAGATCATCCAGGCCCCAGCCCTGCCCCTTTCCCCTACTCGAGAGTCAGCCCTGACGGTCAGCTTCTTGGGACCGGTCGCCTGCCTGGTGAATTCTATATCTTGTCTGGCTTCTGGGCCTAGATCCTTACCTTTCCTGAGAGGTAGTTTGCGATTGAAGGTCAAGGGCAGCACGAGGAAGCGGGTCTCACCCAGGGGTTCCCAGAATTGAAGGAGCCGAACAGTCCAGGCCCCTGGCCGCAGGGGCCGGCTCAGCGGGGGTTTGTACTGCGTGACCTCGGTGTCCGCGTCTACCGTGACGTCATACGACGTGGCCACCACGTAGGTGGGGTCGATCCACACCACGGTGGCTGTGAGGTTGGGGCCCCGGGCCCAGCGCTGCACGGCCACAGGCTCGTCCAGAGGCCCCAGCAACCCCCCAAAGTTCCGGAAAAGACGCTCTTTGGGGTCCCACTCAGTGCCGACCTGTAGGGAGGGAGGCAGCTGGGCGGGCGCTGGGGGGACAAGTCCTCTCTACTCTGATACTGCCTCTAACTGTCTGTGTGACCTTGGCCCAGTCACTGCGTCTTTTCAGGCTCCAGCCTCCCCATTTGCAGAAGGAAAGGCTGGGACTGGGATTTGCTCTAAGATCTTTCTCAGCTCTCAGATTTGTCCTAGGCTCCTGCTCTGGCTTGCTCTGTTGTGGTGGGAGCCACAAGGCTGAGCTGAGGTTTAAGGCCCTGCCCAGAGATCATCCCCACATGAAGCCACAGCCTCCAAGAGCCAGAGAACACTCCATAGCCTAATAGAGTATCCAAGTCCCTCTAGAAGGAAATCACTGCAGTGTCATAAAAGACTGGGCTTGCCCTCTAGAGCAATACAGTCATCTCCCTGCTCCCTGCATGTCCTCTGTGCACCCCATGAGGGAGGTGCCCCTTGGCGTGCGCCTGTCAGGGAGACCCTAGCTCCATCACTGGGAAGGGAGAGCCTGTGAACCCAGTCCTGAAAGGCCTAACCCAGTCCTTATCCCTCCCGTGGTGTCTGTCCCCCTCTTCCTACTACCCGGAGTCTTAACTGGGGGTCAGGAAAAAGCAAGGGGAGGACCTGTCCCACCTCCAGACTCTGGAGCCGGCTGGCCTGGTCACTGCGCCCCAACAGCTTCAGCGACCCCTGGGGCATCAGCCACATCTCAAGCGTCTCTGCCGGCCCCTGGGCTGAGGGCTGCACCGCCTGCGTCACCAGGTAGCCCTGGAAATGGTCGTCATAGAAATACAGGTGCACGCTGGACGGCAAGCCCCGGGGCTCAAACCTAAGAAGGTTCCAGCAGGGAGAAAGGGAGATGCCATCAGCACACCCGACGTGGCCTGGAGTCCCAGGGAGGGGGCTCTGGGTAGTCCCATCCCCAAGCGTGTCCTTTGCCCCAAATCTCACACCCACAGCACCTACGTGCCTGGCTCTTGCTCTCTTTGCTTTATTTGCATTCTCCCCTGCTTTGGACATTGGACTCCCTGGGGTAGGGGTGGTCTCTTTCTGACTGGCCTCCCCACAGGGTGCCACATGCGCAGGGCCTGCAACAGGTCAGAAGGAGGTCTCACCTGCAGAGTGGGGAGGCCATCGGGGGTGTCACGGTGGCAGCGTGGCGCAGGCTGAGGCGGGCGAAGGCGGTGTAGGCGGTGAGCATGACGTCACTGAGCCCACTGGGGCCATCGGCCACATCGTAGGTGTTCTCCCAGTACGCCTTGAGAGCTGGTGTACCCGGTGGGTAGCTGCCATAGAGGTGGAAATCCAGGATCTCCAGGACCTCCTGGTTCACAGTCGACTCGAACTTCCGGGCGAAGAAGGTGGGTCTGGAGACTTGCTGGAGCGGGAGAGGCAATGAGGGTGAAGGGGTCTGGAGGTCCCAGGTGGCGTGGCTAGGCTGGGGGGGCCCTCCCAGCACTGCCTAGACATCAGCCTCCTGGGGCCCTTCCCACTGCCAGCAGAGCCCCGAGAGCTGCTGCAGGGGAAGCCCCCCCACCCCAAGATTCTCTGATGGGGGCTCAGCTTGAATCCCTTCTGCCAGCAGAAAGGACAGAGAGAAAGGCTGGGCAGGGGGCGGCCGGGCGGGGAGGTCCCCGGGGAAGCACCTGCAGCCGGAGGAAGTCCTGCGGCTTGAAGTCGTTGGGCGAGCAGCCGCACCAGTCCACGATGTGCTTGTACTGGCACTTGCAGCCCAGCCTGCGGTTCCAGTTGGTGACCCGCAGGTTGTTGTCCACCAGGCTCTCGCAGGCCGGGCTGTTCTCCAGCACCGTGTGGAAGAAGGACTGCAGCGGGGGCGGGGGGGGGTGAGCCACAGGCCACAGCCCACAGCCTCCCTGCCCTCGCAGTGGGGGTGAGGGGGGACCCGGGTCACCCACCTCGGCGGGGAGCAGCGTGTACGTGTAGAACTGGCGCAGCTGGGCCACCAGCGGGTCGTCCGTGTACACTACGTACTCCACGAAGCTGCGTGTCAGCACGAACCAGTCCGAGCCGCCGTCCACCACGATGCCCGCCGGGATCTGCCGCTCGCCCAGCCGCCACATGTGTGAGTCGCACTCGTGGAAGAGCCGGTCCAGGCCCTGTTTCTTGATGAACCTGCCAAGGCGGTGGGAGTCAGACGGGCCACAATGAGGGTCATGGGGGCCAGGGGGCACACGGGCCACTATGAGGGTCATGGGGGCCAGGGGGCAGATGGGCCACAATGATGGTCATGGGAGGCAGGGGGGCAGATAGGCCACGATGAGAGTCATGGGGGGCGAGGGGGTAGACAGGCCATGATAAGGTCATGGGGGGCGAGGGGGCAGATGGTCCATGATGAAGGTCGTGGGGGGTAGGGGGACAGACAGGCCACAATGACAGTCTTGGGGGGCAGGGGGCAGGCTCTCTCATGCACCCAGGGACCAGCATGCTTCAATCTGGGCTTGGCCGGGAGGCCCTACAATCCCGCTGTGTGTGGGAGGGGCTGTAATGAGACCCCTCACCTGGAGTTGTCCCGGCCATGTGACTTGAGGAAGTTCTTGTCCCGGTTCTTGGACAGGAAAGTCACCAGCTCCTCGTTGGTCCTGGAGAGGGGATGGGGCACGAGGAGTGTGTGTGAGGGGACCGGCTCAGGCTCAGGCCCCATTTCCCACCTTGGCACCCTCTGCAGCTCCCTGCCAAACAGGGAGCTGTCCAGGCCACATGCCCTGCCCTGGGCTAATGCTCTGGGGTCATGGGCACCTGCAGCTCCCGTCCAGCCCTGCCCTCTGACCGTGCACCCCAGGTCCAGGCCTCTGTCCACTTCCTAGTCCCTTGTCACTCTCAATCCTGACATGATCTTCTACCAGGCCCTCCCCTCAACCGGGGCTGTGGTCCGGGGACCAGAATGAGGCCTGGAGGAGGGGAGGGAGTCGCTCAGGACCCTCCCACCCCAAGGACCCCCCTCCCCCTCTTCCCTGGAGGACTTGGAGCAGTGCCCACACCTGGTCGGGTAGTCGGTGGCACTGAGGTTGATGAAGAAGTCCCAGGCCCAGCCAGGCACCTCCAGCAGGTCCCGCATGCTCCGCAGGTACATCCGCAGCAGGCTGGCCCCGCCCCAGATGGTGACCATGCGCCAGGGCGTCACCCGAACGTTGTCATACTGCCGGGCCAACTCCACGACCTCACGGTGCAGGTAGTTGGAGCGCTGCAGTGGATGCGGGGGTACTCAGCAGCCACAGGGGGGGCCCCCCGGCATTACAACCTCCTGCCCCCCGCTCGGACAAGTGACACGGAATGGAGAGACCACAGGGCAGAGCTCCAGCTCCCAACCGGCCGCGCCCCACGTTCTCGGCCTGCTCCCCTGTCTGGAGGCCACTCGGGCAGACCAGTGAGCCTGGCTACCGGTGACCTGCTGGGTCTTGGCGCGACTCGCTCAGGTCCCTGTGCTGTCCCTCCAACGGTACCTTGTCTACGTGGATATAGAAGAAGTGCTGCGTGTGGTAGACGGCCTTCAGAAGGCGCTTCAGCTGGCGGATGGCACGGCCGTGAACCACCAGCATGTAGGCAATTCGGACCGGGGGACCATCCGCGGGCTGCTGGGCCCGGACCTCGTCCCACTGGATGCCGGGGCTCATCTTCCCTGAGCGGAGAGCAGGAGCAGCAGTGAGGTCTCTCCCCAGGCCACAGGGTGGGGGTGAGGCGGGAACAGGGCCGCCTGCTTTCCAAAGGAAGGACCTTGGACTTGGAGCCTGCCGCTCCCGAGTCCTAGCTCTGCCTTGGCCGCTCAGTGCACTTTATCACCAGCCTGGCTGGCGGGGGGTGCCCTCTGAGCTTTCTTCCCCTTGGCAAAGAAGGGTCCTGCCACGGCACCCCAGCCCTGGGGCAGCTACCCCTCCACCCAGCCCTGTCTCTTCCTCTCACCAGCCAGCTGGCAGTGGCGGGGCACAGCCTTGGGCATGAGGTTCCCGGCCTGGTGCAGGCACACCACATTGGCAATCTCCTGCTGGCACTGCTTGGAGCTGGCCCGGGCCAGAGCAGACAGCGCGTCCTTGCCCACGATCTCGCACTTGGGGGTGAAGCTGTTGTCCGTTGGCTGGGGGGCGCCCTCCACGCTCCCTGTGTCTCCATGCGGTGGGAAGCCGGCCGCCCCAACCAGCGCCTCCCCAGCTGCTGCCCCGCTCAGGTTCTGGCGGCCTGGGGCCTCTGGGGGTGGGGCCGGCGGGACACGGCGGCTGGCTCTGTGCCGGCTGGTGACTGCCCGTACCACCTTGGCCACGGGCACGCCGGGGCTCTCGGGACGACCCCGCCAGCGCCCATGCCTTCTGCCCGCGCTGCCCCGGCGCCCGGCTGAACTGTCTGTGTCCTTGGAGCCCTCGCCGGGGTCCAGCGGCCGTGGCTTCCTCTGCCTTCCTTTCTGTAAAAGATGGGCAGTCACGGTCACAGGGACAGTCGCTGTCCTCCTGCTCTTTAGCTCCCTGCTGGCCTCAGGCCTAGAAGGTGCTGCCTCATCCTCTGCCCTCCAAGGAGGAGTGTCATTCGCAGGAGGGCTCTGCACAAGGAGGACTTCGCGGGGAGGCCTCCCTGAGCAGTGGCCAAGGAAGTGCCACCAGGCCTCCAGGACACCACTGCAGCCACACCCCACGTGCTCACACCCCAGGGCCCCGTGTCCCCCTGGACTCTGGAATCAGACACCGCTCTTTTTCAGCAAATACGAACATGAATGTCGCAGAAGGGCGTGGAGACCCTGGAGAGGACACATAAGTCCCACCTGGGCCTGGCCAGGAAGAGACTGAAGGAAAGCGTTCTGCCAGCTACAGAATGTCCACGTGGGAGTATGGAGTGCAGGAGTAAAGGGCCCTGGCCTGGTGGGGAGCCCCGAGGGGAAGCCTGAGATCCCAAGATTGGGGGGATTCTCTGGGAGGCAGAGACTAAGACGGAGTCAGAGTGCGTGACTTTTGCTGAGTTAACACCCAAGCAGGCCTGTCCCTGGTGTTAGAGGGGACAGAAGGAAGAGCTTTGGACAACAGTGCAGCTCAGAGAGAACCAGGGCCAGCTGCTGGGGATGGCGCAGATGGCACAAGCCACTGCCACACGCTGTCACCGGCTGGGAGGCTGAGGCGGGGCCTCAGGGCACCTGCAGCTGGAGGCTGGCACCTGAATGCTCCTCACGGCGGGATTTCTCTAGAAGGGAAATCACGGCTGCCACACTCTGCTTCCTGGCTCCCTGGCCTCTTCTCAAACCAGGTGCTCCCCTAGATGGCCTAGTCACTCCCGAAAGGCAGGTGTACCCACCATCTTCTCCAGCTCTCCCTGTCCCCCTCCTTGGTGCCCCTCCCTGCTGGACCAAATCCCACCCATCCTTCAAGAGCCGGCTCTGAGTCCCCTCCTGAGAACCGTTCCATTTGCCCCCAGAGGGGGACGTTCCCCCAGCAGGCTGGGCTCCCAAGGGAGGGACTGTCACACCAGCCCCATGTCCCAGAGTCCGGCGGTATAGCTGACACACAGAGGACATGCAGCTCATGTCTGGTGGCTGAGGCATGGAAAGAGCGGTGCGACTGCTCCCTGAATGCCTACCTTGTCCGAGTAGGTCCCTCAGCTATGACATGGGAGAGAGATGTGGGCATCCGTGAGAGCGAGCGCACACTAGTGTCCTGGAGGGCACTGTCTCCGCCAGCCGTCGGGTGCACCCTCGCCGTCCAGAGGCCCCTCCACGGTCCTCCCTGGCCACCCACCACGGGTTATGGGCCTTTCCTGGCCTGGCCTCTCGACAGACAGCATGACCTGTGATCCACAGTGCCCTCCTTACTAGACTGTCGGGTGTGCTCTTGGGGCTTCTGCTGTCTCCCTGGCCGCTCCTTCTCCGTCTTCTTGGCCCATCCTCCCTCATCTCCTGAGACCACCCTGGGGCTCAACCTCACCCTCGCTTCCCGACGACCTTGAGCAGCCTCTGAACTCCAGCCGCTCTCAAGTGTCGCTTTCTGGCCCGGACTGCTCCCTTGAACCTTCAGGTGTTTAACTGCCCGCCTGAGCCCTCGGTATCTCCCCTGAGAGCCTGACAGATCTCTGGAACCCACAAGTCCCAAAGCGAGCTCCTCCTGTTCCTCATGACCTGCCTCTATGACAGTCTCCCTGTCTTGTTAACGGCAACCCTTTCCTTCCAGTCATTCAGGCCGAAACCCTTGAGGAGTCATCTTTGACTCTAGTTTCCCTCACACCCCATCAGTCCCCCACCAGTAAGCCCTGCTGGGGCCACCTTCATAATACACCTCTCCCGGCCTCCATCACGGCCACCCCTGCCCAGCATCCCTGGTCCTCCTGCTCCTCCTCTGGTTCCCTGATGGTCCATTCCCATCAAAGCAGCCAGTGTGTTCCCGTTAAAACAAGCCCCACCTCACCACCCCTCTGCTCCAAACCACCCATGGGCTCCCCTCCGAGAGAAAAACCCCAAGTCCCTCCAAGAGTGCACAGAGGTTGTGTGAATCGTGTCTAGCCGCCCCTCCGGCCACCCCTCCCTTTCTGACCTCATCTCCTGCTAACCTATCATGCTCACTCTCCTCCAGCTGCAGTGGCCTTCTAGGTGTCCCTCCACACCACCTGCCATGCACTGTCCCCTGTGCCTGGAATGCCCCCCCCAGATGTCCCCACTACTATGCCTTGTCCCCTTCAATCCTCTGCTCAGATGCCACCTTCTTAGCAAGGCCCACCCTGACCTTCACTTAACTTTTCCCACAGCACTTCCTTCCTTTTCTCATGCTAGAATGTCCTTATTTCTTCTGTGTTATTACAGGTGTCTCATCGCTCACAAGAATGGCATGTCCATGAGGACCTGGCTTTTGTTGTGTTGTTCACTAATGCATTCCAAGAGCCCAGCAGAATGTCTGGCAATAGGAGAAATGGCAATAAATAGTTGCTGAATGAATGAATGAGTGAGTGTAAGGTTCTTGGTATAGGCTCAGCATTTGAGAGATGCTAATGCCCTTATTATTATTATTACTATTAACTATCGCTGGAAAAGGATTAGGAAATAGTCAAATGTGAAGTCAGAAGAGGCGACAAGGCCCTTAGACACTGTGGACTCTATCAGGTTGAGTTTTCCCTGCCCCCTCACCACCTCCCATCAGAGCACACAGTAGGCGCCCTGCCTGCCAGGCCGACAGCTACCTTAGGGCTAGAGCCCCGCTCCTCCACCCAAGCACCCACACTCTCTGCTCACGGCACCCAGCCAGCCTCTGATCTCTTGAGAGATCTGATGAGAGCTGGGGGTGTCTCTCTCCATCTGAGGAGACAACACAACAGGGAGGGCGGGGTGGGAGGGGGGAGTAGACCTCACTCTGGACCCACACTGGGGAGGGCACCCTGGACCGCACAGCCCCCAGGAAAAGTGACTGCATAGTCCCTTGAGCAGAGCGTAGGTCAAGCTGGTGATGTCCGACCTGGCGACACCATGGGCAGAGAAAGACATTCGTTCTCAAGCTCCGCTGGATAGAGATGGCAGAGCCGCTGTGGGCGCGCGCAGTGGAAGCCGGTACTGGCGAGTCAGGAAGTCGGTCAAGAGGGCAGGGCGTGGGGCACACGGCCAGGCTGGCTGTGGTGGGGATGGGATGAGGGAGGAGGTGGGCAGGCTGGGGCCCTGCAGTGCAGCAGGGAGCTGGCTGACCCTGAGGTCAATCCCAGAGAAAGCTGGGGGCCCGGAGGCAGCAGTGAGGAATGGGGGGTGGTCCCTAGTGGAAAGCCAGACGCCACCGCTGCCCACCCATGTTCATAGGGGCATTGGCAAGGCCCCATACTTGTCCCCCCAAAGGAACTTTCCCTAGTAGCCCTGAGGTCAGGGTCCCCTTTGCTTCCTGAGGGTGGGGACCCGCTCTCTGACCTCTGGCCTAGATGCATTCTGGCCTTTGAGGTCCCCCTTCCCCACGGAGAAGGTGTTCAAGTCCTCTGCCACTTCCAGAGAACACAGAATGGCTTCCCCCACACCCTACCACCTTCAGACATCTCAGGCTGTGTTTAAAGTAAGTGGTGAGACCACGTTTGTGAAAGCTTTTAAAACCACAAAGTGGTTCTTTGGACATTAACAGTCAGACCTGGTCTCCACTGCAGCCCCTCCATAGATGGGCAGAGTGCGCATCTGAAACGCACGTGACCCCACTGCCTCACCTCACGTCACTTACAACGGCACCTGGGTCCCTCCCTAGGGTCTCCAGGATGCACCCCGGACTAACTCTCAAACCTTCTTCCGAGGAGGAGTATGCCCCACCCTCCTTCCCATTTCTTGAAGACACCCAGCTATGCCCACTCTGTGCGCCAACTCTGTCCACCTCTTCCCCTGCGCCCACCATGCTTCCTGCCAAAGCCTTCCCCGACCACCAGCTCCACCACCCCCCTCAACACAACTGAGTTGCCTTCCCACTGTCAGCCTCCCCCCTGCTCACCACCTGCCCTCCGGCGCCCCGGCCTTGTCTACTTTATTTCCGTATCCCCAGTCTTAGCAGAGCCTGTTAGGGAGCACAAGTTAACCATCTTTTGTTGACTGACCAACTGACCTGATGAACGGATCCCTAGGCCCAGTGTGCAGAGCCGAGATCATATTATTTCCCAGTGGTGTAGCACGCACCAGGAACTCCTGCTAATGCTTCACGGACATCATTTTTACTTAACTGTCACGATGGCCCAGTGAGAAAAGTGCTGTGAGTATCCCCTCTTGAGGGGGGGGTGCGGTCAATGCTGAGGACTTGGAAGGAGGTTAGGTAACATGCCTGTGGTCTCACTTGGCAGCAAGGCCGGAAGTGGACCCCGAACGGGGAGGTGGGCTGGTCGGACTTGGAAGCCCACTGCGCTGCCTGGCAACCCCCGGCTCCGGCGAGGGGGCTGCTGAAGGGGTCCATGTGCCAATGCCTGCCTGCACTGCACAACCTTTAGGTCATCGAGGATCTCTACTATCCCAGTCCAGTCCATCCCTATCAGCCTCTGCCAGGAACCTGGACGGGGAGGTAGGGAGGTGGGACCCCTATTCTACTGCCAGAGTTCCCCACCCCAGGCTGTGGGCAGGCCAGCAGGGATTTGAGGCCTGGACAGTCTCTCAGCCCCTTCAGAGACTCACTGAGCCACGAAACTGGGGGCCACTGGTTTCTGTGAGGCCTCAGCGGCTAGGCTATAGCCCTCCCCAGAATGGTCACCGGCCTCTGCTCACACACTCCAGGGTCAGAGGGCTCCCCAACTACCTCGGAGAATGTCGCAGCTGCCCCGTCTTCTCACATGGACCCTGAAACACTCTTCCTCCTTCTCCTCCTCACTGGTCCACACAGAACAAGTCAACTCCCTTTGCATGTCACAGAGCCAGCCTCTTCCCGACCCCACTCAGCTCCTTTTGGAGTTATGGCCTCCCATGACTCTGTTACGACTCCCTCAACATCCCAGCCTCTTGGTTCCCCCAAAAGAGACAAGGGCAGCCCTTCTCCCAGACTCCACAACAGGCCTTCCAGACTGCCCAGGTGTAGAAGGGGTAAGTGGACATGGAGCTCCCTTGGCTTTCACACTGCCAGGTGGAGAGACCCAAGAGGACACGGCAAGCAGAGCGACCGACTCTGAGCCCTAGAAGCACCAGAACGGAGGGGGTAGGGGTATGGGCAGAGAAGCCCTGCTCACTGGCCCACAGCTCAGGGCCAGGGTTTGGCTTATCTCCTGGACCTTCCAAGATGGCCACAGACCCCACTGGACCCTTCCTGACCAACGTGGGAAGCGACGTGTCAGGGTCCCAGCTAAAACCAGCCAGAAGTGAGTGACACTCTCAGGGCAGGGATCTGGGTACTGAGCTGGACAGGTTTGTCCCTGCTCCGGGGCCTGACGCTCTGCTAAACCAGCTGATGCTGTCCCCATTCCCTAAGAGCTATAGGCCTCCCCCCGCATTCCCTAATGTCCTGAAGCCACTCACCAGCTCACTTCCCCCAGCCATCTCCTCCTGAAGACCCGCGGCTTTCTTCAGACCCCAGGTTAAGAAAGCCACGCCTGGGGAACACTCCAGTCCTCTCCCTCGGGGTCACTCCCTGTTCCCTCGGTTGCCGTACTGAGTTCCAGCCCCGAGCTCCACTTCTCCACTGACGGCTGCCCGTCAGGCGCTTCTGGGAGCTGATGCCCGGGGTCCCTCGGCCCCGCTCCTCCGCCCAAACGCGCACACCCCCGCCCCCTCCCAACTTCAGAAAGTTTGGCCTGGGGCTCCCCACCTCCGAGCAGGCTCGGGCCCGGCCCCGCCTCCCGGTCCAACGCCCCGCGCCTGACCTTCATAGCTCCCCGGGCGGGGGACCACCCCACCGAGACCCGTTCCTCCCGCCCGGGCCCCCTGCCCGCCCGCGGCCCGGGCCTCCGGGTCACGCACCGCCCCCGCGCACAGTCCGTGGGGCCCTCCTGGGAAAGGGGCGCCAGGGGCCCGACGCCCTGCTCCCGGTGGCTGCCGGCGCCGGTACGCACGCGGCCAGTGCCCCACTTCCCCGGCCGGGGCCGCCTGCAGCCCCGCCAGGACCCCGCGCGCCCCCGCGCCCGGCCTGCCCGCCTGCCCGCCCGGCGGTCGGAGCACCTCGCCCGGCTCGTCCTCCTCCAGGCCACTGAAGCTCCACACCACCAGGCCCTGCAGCAGCAGGATGGCCAGCGCCGTGGCGATCGCCAGCTTGTAGCGCCGCACCAGCTTCTGCACCCGCGCGCTCGCCACCATCTTCCTGCCCGGGACGCGGGGCGCGCGCCCAGCCCTGCAACCCCGCCGCGAGAACGCGGCTGGGCGCGGACCGAGCCGACTCCCCCCTCCCAAGGAGGCGGGCCGGGCGCGCGCTGGGGCGGGGCGGGCCGGGGGGCGGGGCCCACGGGTTCGAAATGCCGCGCCCCGCAAACCGGGGGCGGAGCCTAGACCCGCCCGAGCACCGCCCGCCTGGGCGGCGCGGGGTCCGCCTCCCAGGCGGTCCCTTCTCTGTCTCCGTCTGCGGCGGGCTCCCGCGTGCGCTCATCTGGTCCTGGACCGTTAGCCCATTTGTACCCGCTGGTGGAGAGGTCGGCTATCCAAACCGTCGCTCGCCGCCTGGTGTCTCGCGGGGGGGGGGGGGGGGGGGGGGGGGGGGGGGGGGGGGCGGCGCGCCCCCCCGGGGGGGGGGGGGGGGGGGGGGGGGGGGGGCAACTAGGCTCGGTGCTGATTAGCTCTCCGCCCAGGGCGCGCAGAGAATGCTAGAGCTCCCAGAAACGCTGAGATGGGAGAAACTGTGTAAATGCCACAGGGCCCTGCTTAAAAACCGTGGAGGCCGCACCACCAGGGCAAAGTCTAACCCCCTTGCCTTGCATCCGAGGCTGCGCATAGAGTCTCCTTTCCTCTTGACTCTTTTCATCCTAAGGATCTTAAGGCCTCTCCCAGAGCCGTGATTCCCAAATTCTGGGGTGCATTGGAAGCACCAGGAAATCTTGATAAAACAGATTGCTGCTCCCCACCAGAGTTTCTGCTTTGTTAGGTTGGTAGGTCGGGAGTGGCGCCCTGAGAATTAGAATTTTCAACAAGTTCCCACGTGATGCCTATGCAGCTAGTCTGGGACTACACTTGCAGAAACTTGTTAGACCTTTGCATATCTGTTTTCTTTGTCAAGTACTAGCAGCTGTTCCCCGCCTCTGTCCTCCTCCCCATCAGTGGCATCCCTCCCACCAAGTGCTTCCCCAGCACCAGGCAGCTGACCCGCTAACTACAAACTGGTTGTGATTTTTCTGGGATCACGTCTTATTCACTTTTGAATCCTTGACCTGCCATTGGACACCCAGCATTGCTCAGTAAATGCTGCAAACTAAAGAGGAGGTGAAGCCCAACTTGCTGTTTTAGCAGCTGACGCTAAAGGTTTCTGAGGGTCTGGTATGTTCCAGCACTGCGTAGACAAGGTGTGAATGCCGGCTGCCCTCCCCTGAACCTGGCAGTCCACGGAGAGAGGGAAGAGAAGGGGGAAAGCAGTGCCCACCAAAGCAAAGTGAATGCCTTCCTGATGAAGCCAGGCATTATGAGAAGGAAGCAATAAAAAGAGCAAAACCAAGATTGAAGATTTAAAATAAAGACTTTAGAATCCCCGACAGAGCAGTCTGGAAAAAGAAGTGATTATTTGTTTATTTATTTACTTTTCTTTTCTGAAAGCAATGGTAAAGGGTTTTGGAAGTTGCCAGGTCATAAACTGGGTGAGGGAATTCTAAGCTGTGATGAGTACAGAGAATCCAGTTCTTTCATGGCACTTAAATAAAACCTCTGTTAATCATCTCCGGCCTCTTTGGTATTTGTAATCATTCCATTTTTAAGCATTAGTTAAATGGGAGAGTTGTAAACAATGTTTTAGATGACAGTTTGGCTACTTAAGAGAGCCTATAGCTCAAGGATTTTGGAAAACATCAGTTGACGTGCTAGCAATTGATATGTTAATTAAATATTGATCTTGTGTGCTCATTAAATCAGGTCCCCTAGGGACTTCTACCTGTCAATACTCCTCCCCCCACACACCCAATGGAAATAGCTTTATTTTCCGCTGATTATTTAACTGGTATATACTCATTGTATAACAATTTTTTAAACGATTTTACTTATTTATTTGACAGAGATTACAAGTAGGCAGAGAGGCAGGCAGAGGGAGAGGAGGAAGCAGGCTCCCCGCTGAGCAGAGAGCTCTATGCGGGGCTCGATCCCAGGACCCTGGGATCATGACCTGAGACGAAGGCAGAGGCTTTAACCTACTGAGCTACCCAGACACCCCTCATTGTCTAACATTTAAAACATAGAAAAATATAAGGAATAAACTAAAAGTCACCTCTAATCCCATTCCTTGAGATAATCATCATTAATATTTTGGTGCATCCTTTCCCCCATCTCTTTATGTATATATAATTTTGTACAGATGGAGTCATATTACACAGTTGGCTTTTTAAATATTTTTAAGTATTTTTCCCTCTTTCCACTCATGTTCCCAGCTTCATTTACTTGTTTGGTTCTTTCTTCCCCTCCTAACTTCTTTCCATCTTTCTCCTAATAATTCACACATGTGTTAACACACGCACGCACACACACACACACACACACACACACACACATTTTTTATTTAGGGTCATTATATTTTAAAAAGTTGAACCATGTTACATTCACTTTCTGCATCTTGCTTTCCCCCCCCAAACCATAAATGCATAGTAGAAAGTCCTCCAAGTCAGATGAGACAGGTCTACCCCATTCTCTTTGTAATGGCTGCATAATATTCCACTTCGCCATATTCACTTGGTTTCCAGCTTTTGCCACTACCACAGGTTGTAGTAAACATGGTTCTATGCAAATCCCTATGCAATGATGCTTTTTTTTTCTATGATAGGTTTTCCAGGCATGGGCCTACCAGGGAAAAGGGAATTTTATATTTTAATAGCACTGCCAAATTGTTTTCCCAAAATGCTGGATAAGTCACATCTTCAACAGCAATGAATAAGAGTATTTCTTTCCTTCATCCCTTCCAGCAGCAGATATTACCACTGTTTTTAATTTTTGCTACTCTGATAGGTGAGAAGTGACCTCCTTGTTGTTGGTGTTTTTTTGTTTTTTTTTTTTTAAAGATTTTATTTATTTATTTTGAGAGAGCACGAGCAGGGGGCGGGCCAGAGGGAGGGAGAAAATCTCAAGCAGGCTCCATGCTGAGCGAGGAGCCCCACGTGGGCCTCGATCTCATGACCCATGAGATCATGACCTCAGCCGAAATCATCAGTTGGTGCTTAACTGCGCTACCCAGGTGCCCCTACGTTTAAGTCTTAATCCACCTGGAATTTGTTTTGTGGATGGTCTGAGACCGAGGTTTGCAAGTCTTCATTAGCACTTGCACCAATCACCCTCTCTGTGCCCATTGAGATTTTACTATTTTTTGTAACACACTTGTTACTGAGGCGTAACATGCATCGATTGATTTCAGTTGGACTGTAGACAGTGCAAGGTTCCTCACACCCCACTGTCTCCTCTTTTCTTCAGCTTCCTCCTATAACTTCCATTGTGCTTGTTTTTTCCTTTTATGGTAGAGGATTCTTGAACGTACAAAATGGCTCCTTAGAACATCAGAACAGGAAAGCATTTTTTAAGTTTTAAGTGGGCAGCTCTTACGCTATATTCTTTCTTGTGTGAAGGCTTTCTCCTTAGAGTCTTAGTTTTAGGAGCTATTTATAAGCCATGGATGCTGAATGTTTTCAAATGTATTTTCAGCAGCAAGAGCCCAGACTTGGCTCAGAACCAGAGGGCATGCCAGCCGGGCAATAAAGCCTCAAGGCTGTGCCTCCAAGAATGTCCCCGGGCTCTGTCTTCTTGCCTTAATCTGGTTTCCTCTTCTCTGTCTGGTTCCTGGGATTGACACTTCACTGGGCTGTCTGCTGGGCCTGGTGCTGTCCTCATCCCAAAGGTACACCCTCTGCCAGCCGGGGCCCAACCCAGCTCTGGATCCCGGGGCTTCTGCTTGTCAGGGAGTAAGTTACAACATCTATTGAAATGATCATATGGATTTTTCTAAGGGGACCTGTTGAGATGATGGGTTATTTAAAAAATAATGTCCACATATTAAAATATTGTTGCATCTCTTGGGGTAAATGTAACTTGGTTTTGGTAGACTGTTTTTAAAAAAATTGGAGTGTAGGTTGAATTGGACTTGCTAGTATTTTCATTGGGACTTTTGCATCTATGTTTACAACAGAGATTGACCTATGTGCAGACTGGTGACTTATGGGACTTGTTTATTTGAGCAGTGGAGGGCTTTGAAGTGTTTGGTTTTGAGTTCCTGATGTAGGAGTGCACACTCTCTAGTTCCTGTGGCTCCCACTTTCCCTGTCATTTCACACCTGAGTGATGCCACCCATTTATAGTATTTTCTGGTTTACAGTCACTTGTATTTGCAAACCCGGGTCTATGGTTTTCTTTGCTCTTTTCTTTCTTCTTCTTCTTTTTTTTTTTTAAGATTTGAGAGTTATATCAGTTTATAACACACACTGAGGACCATTCTTTCTTTTTTTTAAATATTTAAAAAAAAGATTTTATTTATTTATTTGAGAGAGAGAGAGAGAGAGGTCACAAGTAGGCAGAGAGGCGGGAGCAGGCTCCCCACTGAGCAGAGAGCCCAATGCGGGCCTTGATCCCAGGACCCTGAGATCATGACCTGAGCCGAAGGCAGAGGCTTAACCCACTGAACTACCCAAGGAGCCAGGACCATTCTTTCTTTATTCTGTGTTTGAAATAATTTTTTTAAAAGATTTTATTTATTTGACAGACAGAGATCACAAGTAGGCAGAGAGGCAGGCAGAAGCAGGCTCCCTGCTGAGCAGAGAGCCCGATGTGGGGCTCAATCCCAGGACCTTGGGATCATGACCTGAGCTGAAGGCAGAGGTTTTAACCCACTGAGCCACCCAGGCGCCCCTGTGTTTGAAATAATTTATACAACAATAGACACAGCTATTCCTTAAACATTAGAAAAGCCTTGTCAGCAAAAGCACCTCAGTTGGCAAATCACGTAAGTCTTTAGGGAGCTAAGTTTTTGATAACATCTCTTTTTTTTCTCTTGGTTATGGGTCTATTCAGAATTTTGTGGGGTTTTTTGGGGGGGTCAGTATTGTAATTTGTGAATCTTCTTTTGTTTTCTGGAGAAGAATTTAAATACTCCACTGTGTTTCTCTTATTTTTTTGTTTTCCATTATTTTGTTTATATCATATGTCAACAGTATGAATTGTTCCAAAAAT